TGTAGCTTTTGGATCTGATAAGGTCAGTGAAATCCCCCCAGGATTTATCCTGAGATCCTGTACCTCAGATTGTAGATTCTTTGTCAGTGTCAGCCATGTGAATGAGTCATGGCCATTGCTTGGCCAATGTGCTCTCTGTGAAAGCCTGAGAAAATGTTTTCTCTCGATGTGACTCTCCTTAGGCACACTCTACATCATTGATCACTTTCCTCTTTGGCCCCATAATCTCCTTGATCAGAAAATTTTGGACACAACCAAGTTATAAGATGTTACAGTACCCGTTCTCCTATGTCCTGAGTCTTAATTGACCTTGGAAGGCTAGGACCAAAATGTTGGCTTTTCTTGCTGCCCTCCTTTTTCTCTAATTTTTGGCCTGCAAACTTAAGTTTTTAACCCTCCAGAAGAGAAGCTTATTGTTATTACCCTACAATAACCTAAGCTGTTGAGCTTAACCTCACTATCTGTCTGAATATCAAATATCTTAGGCATAACTTGGAGCAGGTATTTTTCATCAAGTATTGACATGTTAAAATTTAAGTCCCTACAAAATATGATGAAAACAAGTTTAAAAATTAAAATATATTTTCAAATAGGAATAAACAATTATATATGTTTGCACGTAAGTTTAGAAATCTAACCATATGCAGCCTTATAGCAGGTAGTCTCACAGCCCTGGAGGTTTCTAATGCATAACGTGCTCCTTCTTAAGCCAGGTGCTACCTAGGTATTCTTACTACATAATTCAGGGAACGCAAGTCTAGGGGCATTTGTTGCACTTTTGTTTTTGTTTTGTTTTGTTTTTGTTTTTACCTTATTCAAATCCCAAGGCAGCCATGGAGGAAGAGGCAGTGATTTTGTGCACTGCACATGCCGTGTGGTACACTAAGGCCAGCTCTCCAGGATTTCCACCTGTACTGCACCTATAAAAGTGCTTTATGCTCTAACCTGACCAAAGCGCCGCCACCCTGTTCTGGGTGCGCCATCTTCGTGAACCACGTCAGCTGCTGTAAAATGTGCCTATCTCCCAAAACCTCTCTTTCTGCAAGCTGTTGCTGTAAGCCCTCGCCCCACCCTTGAATTCCAAGAACTTCTCCAGACCCCTAACCAAATCTAGTCTCAGCAGCGGCCATGTCTCCTTGAACTCCCTGAGTTGTACCCCGCCTGCTTTGTGCTTTTAAGCTTTATAAACCCCCACACTCCCCACCCCTTTGGCGCACACGTAGGTACTTTGTGCCGAGTGTCGCTGCTGGGTACCAGCTAAAATAAAGCGCTTTTTAAACTTTTGAGCCTGCCTCATTTTTGAGTTACAACACTTTACATCCCTGGCACTTCCCAAGCGTTCTGTCCTTCTGTCAACCTGTAAGAGGGAGCAAGGGCTGGGACCTTGACCTCCACAGTCATCCTGAACTTCTGCTCTGAATGTCCGAGGCCTCCAGGCAGGCTCTCTGGGGTCTCTGTTCCTCAGCTCTGAGGTGCCAATTTCTCAAGTCCATACCTTCTCCTTATGGGGGTAATGAAGACCTGGAAAATCGCCGGCATCTGCTACTCCCCCCTGGCTGGCCTGGCCCTGGAGTCTGGGAGACGCTGCTCCCTGGACTGCACCTGCCCTGGCCACCGCAGTCCCTCACAAGACCCTCGCAGGACTCTCCCAGCCTCTGAGCCTGCCTTGCTGCAATCCGCCCCTCCCTGGAGCTCTTTTTCTCCACCAGGCTGCTGCCCAGCCCTGCTACAGTGGAGGAGCAGCCCTGGCAGGCCTCCACTTCCCTACCTCCCCTGCAGGCTTGCAGTCCGGATCTTGGCGATGCCAGCCCCCAGCCAGGCCCGAGGACACACCTACTCCCCCTCTAACCTTCAAGGGGCCCTCCAGGCACCCCAAAGGCTTCAGAAGCAAGAAAAGTAGAAGGGCTGAGAAGCTGTGAGCCAACTTCCCGCTGCCAGCGAGGCGGCGCCCAGCTGAGATGCGCGCGACACACAGCGCGCCCCTCCCTCCCGCCAAGGCGTCCTCTCAGCGCACAGCGCACCTCCCGCGCTTTGTCCCGAGGCGCTGCTGGGAGGAGAGCGGACACCTGTGGCTGCGATCCGTGACTGAGACGTGTCTGGTAGGTCACCCCTGGTCCTGGGGTAGGGCTGGAGTTTGGCAGAAAGCTTCTCCAGAAAATCCCCGGGCTGGGGCCAGACAGGTGGGACGCAGCCGGGCGTGGGGACGCCGGGCCTCCAGAAGGGGACTGGGGGCGACCTCGGGCTGCCGAGGAGAACCGGGCCACAGGGCGGTCGCGACCCCGCGGGGATGCAGGCCGAACGCGAGCGCTGTTAGGAGCTGAGGTCTGCAGCACCCGAGCTGAACTTCAGGAAGGTGCTTCCCAGGATCAGCTTCTCTGGCTCTAAGGTCTCTCCAGTCCCAAAGCTCCTGGGCTCTTCCCTGTCGCGATCTCCCAGGGCGGGAAAGGACAGGCGCTGCTCCCGGCTCAGCGTCTGGAGAAGGCAGCAGCGGGGCTGGGGAGGTGGTGGGAGGGGTGCAAGTGGGGAGGAGGGCTGCCGGGGCGCAGGTGCCCGCAGGGCACCCGTGCGGTTTCCGAGCTGCTCCCGTTGGGCCCGTGCTGTGGGAGCCAGGGAGGCCCGGGCGGCCGCGATGCCCCCATCCTCCCACCCCCCACACCCCTTCATGGAGGACCTGGTGGCGGCAGAGAAAGCGAAAGCAAAAGGTTAAGCGCTGGAGGGAAGGCAAAGGCGGGAAGACTGCGCGCCCTCCCCTCCCCTGGGCCCTTCGTCCTGGTGATACAGGGAGAAAAACTCATCTGGGGTGGGTGACCTCCAAACGATACAGGGAACTCTAAACGACATAGGGAGAAACGATCTCTCGACCGGACCTGGACGAGTTTGTGTTCTCTAAACCGAAGAATTTGAGGAACAAACGGAGGTTATGAGCAGAATATATTTATTGAGGGAAAGAAAGCTCCTGCCCAAGAGAGGGACAGGAGGGGGGCCCGAGCGGGTAGGTCCCGGGAAGCTGTCTCTTCCAGGGACTTTTACAGAGTAAAACAGTGCGGTGAGGCTGGCCTAAGGTGGTAGAGAACAGGGGAACTCTCTTAGGTGGATATGGGGTGGGACAAAACTATGTTCAACCAATGGAATTACAAGCACCATTGCTCAGGTAAAATAGATTAACTCCAGGATCAAATGGGGAATCAAGTCTCATAGAAAGTGGGCATGAATGTAGAACAGGACTTTATTAGGTAGCCATCCAGTAGTACTCGGATTAAGGAATCTTCAGTCTCCCTCAGAGTGATGATCAATCTCAGATGCCAATCTTTAAGGAGGTCGGTATTTGTTTGATCTTTGGTCTTTAGGTCTGGCCCACTGCGGGAACATCCATCCATCCCTCCCATAGTTGCAAAATATCTGGACTTTTGTGTTATCTCTTTTGAGGGCCCGGCCATTCCTAACTGCCTAAAATATTTTTATCTAACTCGGCTGCCCGCAACACTGGCACAGTGCTGAGAAACGGGGGAAAGAGAGTGGCTTCATCTGCCGCGGCCTTTCTCCAATGGGCGGGAGCATCTTCCTGCTCTAGTGGACTCAGGCCCGCCGTCTTTTAGAGACCAAACGCCATGCCTTCAATTAAGTTGCCGAGTTCCGAGGGAGAGATATTTGAAATTGATGTTGAAATTGCCAAACAGTCTGTGACAATCAAGACCATGTTGGAAGATTTGGGAATGATGGTGAAGGAGGTGGTGACCCAGTTCCTCTACCAAATGTTAATGCAGCGATATTTTAAAAGGTCATTCAATATTCAGTATCTTTCAATCAAAGTGGCAGCTTAATAAGGCATCATCAAGTCCAGATCTTTACATTTTCCAATCATCCCAAATATAGAAAGACTTGCTGTATTTAATATGTTGTCAGGTGGGGATTGAAACCAGGGTCATGAGCTAGCTAGGCAGCCATTCCAATGAGATATATTTCCAGCCTCCAAAAGGCTTATTTTATTTTATTTATTTATTTTTGTTATTTATTTATTTATTTATTTATTTTTGGTGGAACCAGGGATTGAACTCAGACACTTGCACTTGCCAGGCAAGTGCTTATTCTACTGAACCATCTCCCCAGCCCCCCAAAAGGCTTATTTTAAACTACAGGGAAAATGTGAAACAGTTTTTGTGCTAGAATATAAAAACTTGTATATACTAAATTCTGTATTTTAAAAGTAGTCTTCGGTAAACAGAACTACCAGTGATACAAAACTTCTGGAGCTTAATATAATGGAGTAGGGAAGGATCTAAGAGTAGGTAGGGAAGGATCTATGACTACAGAAGCAGCAACTGTGAGATAAATGTTTGTCATGCTTAACAGTTCCTCAGGTCAATACTTTGTGATAATAGATTATTCAGTGTTAATAATATTGACTAGAATGTTCCTCACAAAGCTGAGATGTCAGGACCAGGTCATGGAATTTTACTCAGTGACAAATAAAGGCATTTTCTGATTACTCTAAAAAAACAAAAGAAAAGGTCATTCACTGGTGTGCCCACCACAAGCATGACCCTCCTTCTCCTGAGGATGATGAGAACAAAGAAAAGCGAACAGATGACCTCCCTGTTTGGACCAAGAATTCCTGAAAGTTGACCAAGGAACCCTTTTTGAGCTTATTCAGGCAGCAAACTACCTAGACATCAGAGGCTTGCTTGATGTTACATGCAAGACTGTTGTCCATAAGATGAAGGGGAAAATTCCTGAGGGGATTCTCAAGACTTTTAATATCAAAAATGACTTTACTGAAGAGGAGGAAGCCCAGGTACGCAAGGAGAACCAGTGGTATGAAGAGAAGTGGAATGTTGTGCCTGACACTGTAACTGTAAGGATTGTTCCAAATTCTAGTTGCACCACTGTTTATAATTGTTAATGTTAGACAAACACTAGACAAATGCAGCAGCAAAACAATTACATTAACATAATATTGTCCTCATTTCAGGTGTAGTTTGAGTTGCAGATTCCAAGCCAATGACTGAATTTCTTCTGGTCTGAGCAAAAGTTGCTGGTTTTCTTTACTCTGCATAAAACTGAACTGTGGGTTCTCTGTAGAAAGTTGACATTTTGAGTTTTCCCTCTTTTTGTAAATCACTATGCAGTGATTTCTGCAAAGATTGTTGTCCAGTTAACTTTAGTGAGCTTTTCAAAGTTGGCATTATAAATAAAACAACTTACAAAAGCTTTCTGCAGTAGAGTTAACAAAATACTATATTCGAAGTTGGAAACTGGAAAATGGCTACTTGAAGTAACTCTTCCAAGTGGGGTTGTCTAGAACATCTTCCAGCCTCCTAGAGTCAAGCAGTATCACTGGTACAGATTAGCCTGCAGGTAGCAGGACTCCCTTAGTTGGACCTGAGGACTTGTGTAATTTGTTTTAAAACTTTTAATCTCGGCTTTGAATAAGTTGCCTAGAGACAGTAACTACCGAGTTTGTGGTTTGGGGGAGAAATGTAACTAGACAGTTTGTTAGCTTTTCAATTAAAGACAACACTTAACTCAAAAACAAGAAAAAAAAAAGAGAGAGAGAGAAAGGTGGGAAGAGGCGACCTAAGGATCCTTGCTTCTCTGTCATCCCCCTGCCATCAGTGTCCTAAGTGGAGACCACAGTGTAGCATTGGGATAGGACACTTTTTTTTGGCTTAACTTCTTAGAAATCACAATTTGGTGTGCATCTGTGGAATGGCTGTACTTGCAGAGAGTCGGTTCCTGTATGTCACAGTTCTTAATGCTTTCTTCATCTAATTCTGCCTTCCATTGTCCCGACCCTTCTCCACTGTCCAAGGATCCAGTTTCCTATTAGGCACCTTTCCTTGAACCGAGGATTGAACTCAGGCCCTTGCGCTTGCCAGGGAAGTGCTTATTCTACCAAGCCATCTCCCCGGCTATTGCTCTTGGATGTATTTCTGCTTCTACCTTCTCCTACAGAAGAAAGAGTGTGAGCTTCAAGCCTGAAGGTCTCATTTATGTTGTATAACATTGTGACACTGTGGTCTCCACACATTTTCAAGTTTTCTCCAGATGCAAACCCAGTTGAGTTGTTTTTTTGTTTCTTTGTTTTTTTTAATTTTAAGGAAGGGTCTATAGAGGGTTCAGGGTCTCACTAGTAGATCAGACTCGTAGGGATTCTCCTGTTTACAGCTTCCAAAGTGCTGAGATTAAAGGCTTACTCTCGGGGTGTCCCAGGGGCGGGGCTGGTAGGGCAGGCCCAGAATCAAGGCCCCTACACCTGCCCCTGCTTAAATGTGCTTTAATCTGCTGAGCTATGTGGCCAGCCCTTCCTCTTCAGTATTTTTAACCTGCATTTAAAGCCTCTCTATGCCCTGCGCCCTGGACTTGGGCCATGGCCTCTCTTGTGTGCACTACCCTGGCTCGAGGAACACAACCTGGATGTGAGCTGCCCAGCACAGGAGGTGTGAGCATGCGCAATCAGAAAGAATGTCACAGTGTCTCATGCACGACCCAACATAAGAGTACTTTGCACAAGAGGTTGTACTGTTGGAGTCAGTGCATTGCCAGGTAAACTGTCTGCTGGCTGCAGCCCATCTCTGGGGACAGCAAGGTCAGAGTGCAGGGGACAGAAGAGGGCCGGGTCCCTGGGTCATCTGTTCCTTTGAGGCATCAGTGACAGCTGTGAAGATCCTGCTCTCACTCGAACCTTTTTGCACTTAGAGTTTCAGCCGAGCCATCTGCTTCACCTCAGCCACCATGAGCCGTCAGAAGCGCAGGTCCCAAAAGTGTGACCTGGAGAACAATTCGAGAATAGATGACTTCTTTCCTCCGGTAAGTCTGTAGTGTTTTCAGAATGTCCTGAGGGTAGGCTTGGCCTTCCTTGGCCGGCCCTCCATGGTCTTGCTGCCCAGACATTACCTTGCTGTTGTGGTGGGGGATATTACAGAAGTTACTATCTTTCTTGTCCCTTTTCTTCTTTCTGAGTTGGTCAGTGGCAGCAGAGACAGGAGCTGTGATTTAAAAGAATATTGAGGGCCATACACAAAACATGTTTTAATAAAAAGCTATTGTCATACTTTTTGAAGAAAACAAAAAAATAAAATTTATTAGAGTAAACTGGAATAAAAAACAGAAAGAAAGTATATTTTACAGCATGGAAACAGCATTCCAAGGACGGCAGTTACACTGGGTCATAGTAACCCAGGTTTGAATTACTTCGTGGTGTATGAAGCACTCCTGTGTACTCACTTATTCTAACCGTCAGCGCGTTAGGCAGGCACACAGGTCGTACCACCACCTTGCTGATGAAGAGCACGGGGCGGTGCAGCCAGGGCTCCCACGCCGGAGGGGAGACGTGGGCTTGAGGCTCAGGGGTGTGACCACCGCAGCGTCCAACCTCAGGGCTCCACCGCAGCACCACACCGTTGTGTCCTTCGTTGAGTTTAACATGCTTCTTAATTGACCAGGAAGAAGACTGAGAATGGGAGGCACCTGAGGGGGCAACGTCAGCGCTTTTAACCTGTCTTCCCTCCTCCTGGTTCTAGAACATCTGAGTGTCTAGAACGTCCAAGGCAGACTTTGGGCTGCTCGTCTCGGGCCTGCCGCTCCATGACCGTGAGCAGCAGCCACACATAGGTGCCCTCTTTGCCTTTCAAGAGAACCTGCCTTTCCCCAGGACTCTGCACAGTAGCCCCCAGGGGTGCAGACAGGGATGCAGTGGCAGTGTGGGCTAAAAGAAACCTTGAGAATGTGCACGTGGGGCCACAGTACATTTATTAATCCTGAATGTTAGTATTATTTATCTTTTTAAAAACGGATTTAGCACAGGATCTACAGGGTCTCAGAATACAGATCAGACTCGTACTGATCCTCCCTTTTTCAGCCTCCCAAGCGCTGGCATTACAGGTGCACATGCCACCACGCCCAAACTCAATCTCAGTCTCACTGCGTCCCAGAGGCGGGGCCTACAGGGCATGCTGAGGATCGAACCATGAGTACTAGTATTATTACAAAGAAAGAAAAACTCGGCCTCGAAGGTGACCGTCAGGGGCTGGCCTCTACCACACAGCGATGTCAGGGCTGATCTCACAAGCAGCCCTGGCCTTGTAATTCTCCTTTCAGGCAAATGCCAAGGGCAGCTCCCGGGCTCAGGCCTGCTGGCGCTCTGGCCACGGGCAGTGTGCATCTGGGAAAGGGTGCCCTGCCACCCTGGGAGTGGACGGGTCTTAATCACTCATTATATTTTGTGATAATTAAGTGTCAGTACTCAGGTCCTCCTCCTCCCCACCCTGACCCACAAGGTAAAATCTTATAAAAATCGGTGTCTTAAATGCAAAATTGAAAAAAAAAGTGTAGTGTAATGAAAAAATTCTAGGCCAAGTACAAGAGTGTTGACATTTACTTTATTTATTGGTCATTGTGTGATTATTAAAAAGTTCCTGGAGAAGTCATTGCTGTGCCTCGCTCGGCTTCTCCAGTGGGGGCTGTGTGTGCTCTCACTGCCTGGGGAAGGAAGGCCGAGGGGTGAAGTGACGAAGCAGGGGAGGCTCAGGCTTCTGCACAGTGGGTGACTGGTGAATCAAGGGGCTCACTCTGGGGTTAGTTATCTCTTTGTGAACAAATAGGCAAATAATGATAGTTTTGTCTAATATCTAAGGCCTGATAATAAGTGATGGTAGACCATTGTTACTAAGTTTGATGTTCTAAGAAGAAAAATTCAAGTGTAGTGTATCAGCATGCTTGGCCAATGCAAAGACTGTGTAGCTACAAATAGCAGAAAGGACCTGAAATAACATGAGGTAGTTTGTACGCTTTCAAGCATCAGGAACAAAAGGTGTTTCTTCCATATTGTTTGTTAGAAAAATTCAGCAATGTGTTGAACTTATTTGACTATTGTGACAGGAAACTCAGCTCATATTTTGAATCAATTAAATCTCAATTCTATCTATCACTTGCCTTGGATTTAGTTCTAAGTTTCCCATAGTATCTTTATGAGTTTCTTGTTAAAAAGAGAAACAAAGGATTATGGTTCTGTTAACCATTTTAAAATATGTAATGTGCATTTTTAGGTCCCAAAAGAAGAGCACAATGCTACGAGTAGTTCTCAAAAGAAGATGGAATCTCAGAAAACGGTTAGGGATATAACCAACACTGTGGACCAAGGATGCCGATTTCCTAAGAAAATTCGAGAAGACCAGAGCATGCACCAAAATAAGGTCATTAATGTTATCTTGGATGTGAACCGCAGAAAAAACCAAAACATGAATCATATGCTCCATCACAGTGGGCAGGGAACCTTACAGGAGGCGCTCAGCACCCTCGAGGCTGTCAGAGAAGAGGCGAAGTCTCAGGCCGGCAAGGAGATGCTGGTGTGTGGCACAGAAGGAGTTGAAGGATTCCTAAACCTCAGGATGCCCCTCAGTTGTTTTCCTGAGGAGAGCTCTGTGAAAATTACTTTCTCCAACCATGTAAGTGGACAGGAAAATCAAGTGTTTGGCCGGCAAGACAGGATGTCCACTGACTGTGTCAAATTTTATATTCACGCAATTGGGAAAACAAAAAAAATGATTGTTAAATGTGGGGAACTTCACAAAAAAGGAAACAGACTCTGTGTCTTTGGTTTCAAAGGAGAAACCATCAAGGACGCTGTGTGCAAGGACGGCAGGTTCCTTCCTCTCCTGGAGAAGAAGCCCTGGAGGCTCATCCACAACCATGTCTCTGATGTAGAAAGCACCCAGCTGGTGGACCAGCTCGAGGGAAAGCTCTTCCAGGTTGAAGTTGAAAACAGGAGCAGCGCTAGGGTGGCAGCCACAGCCACGGCCACGGCCACGGCCACGGCCACCAGGAATTCTGAGTCAGAGAAAAGCAGTCTCCGCGTGTTGAAAGAATACATTGTGGAAGAGTATCCCAGTTTGAAAAGAGAAAGGGAAAAATTCAGAGAAAACCTCAAGGAAGAAATGAAAACAACAAAGAAAAACAAAGCTACATTAATTGCACTGCACCAAACAAACTTTGGGAAACAGATAAGCAATTCTATTCCAGCTAAAACAATCAAATTCCTCTCCCAGGCCTTGGAGTCCGTGGGATACTTACGCTGGGACAATAATGGAAATGCGGGCAGCGCTACCTGCTTTGTCTTCGCACAGTCATTCGTTTTCACTTGCCAGCACGTGATCAGGGACATGGTGGGGCCAGGAGTAGAGCCACGTTGGTGGGCAGACGTCATTGGCCGCTGTGCGTGGGTGACATTCAGTTATGAAGAGTTTGAAACAAAAGACCACGACCGCTTTGACTTTGAACCTTGGTTTGAGATAAGTGATACAACCCTCGACTACGCTGTCCTGAAACTGAAGGAAAATGGACGAGAAGCACCTCCAGGGCTCTACAACGGATCCGCCCCTCCACCACCTAATGGGTTGGTTTATATCACTGGCCATCCTGAAGGAGAAAGTAAGTGCATTGACCCCTGTGTTGTGATACCTCAGAGTGCACGAGGTGAGGCATGTCAGAGAAATTATGAAGGATCCGTGCCTGAGCCTGACTGCGGGCCTCGCATTTTCCAAATGTACTCTCAAAAGAGTTTCCAGGAAATTGTTCACAACGCTAATATTTTGACCTATGACACCTCTTTTTATCAAGGTTCTTCTGGCTCGCCAGTGTTTGATTCCAACGGCTCTTTGGTGGCCATGCATACTGCGGGCTTCTCTGATAAGTACCGAGGAAGGAGTGTGCGTCTCATTGAGTTTGGCTCTGCCATGCGGTCCATCCTCTCTCACATTGAGCACAATCACAAAGAGTGGTACGAACAAGTGTGTGCACCTCAGCAGGAAGTAGAAATGTTGAGTCAAGAGTAGGGAGGACCTGTGGGCACTTGCCTCTGCGGTTCTGTCAGAGCAATGACAATGGTTTTCTAAATATCAAAGTAGTCAGTTTCCGAAAAACTAAAACAGTTGATAGTATAGGCCAGCCATTTCTATAAACCCATGATGAAATCAGTCCTGCTGTAACTTGAAGCCTTAATTATAAATTGCTAGCTGAGGTCCCTGCCATCTTTCTGACTGTCAAGGGACAATGGCTCATCAAACACAATTCATCTTGCTTTGTCTCCCTAAATTGGTCAGAGGGAAGGGTTTGGTCCCCTGGTGAGGCAGGATCAGTGCCCCACCTCAGGGTGGAGCAGTCACAAGAACAGAGCCCCAGACCCCTGCTGGCCGCCTCAAGAATAGGGAATCACAGCCCTGGGATGGGGACCAGACAGCAGTGCAGAAATAAGGAAGGCAGGAAGGAGACGAAGAAAACCAGACTTTGTAAGTAGTACTTTTAAGAATAAAGTGACTTCAAGGCCCAGAGCCACCCAGGGCTTCTCATGCCTGCGCACCTCAGGGGCTTCTCTGGGCCTCTTCCAGGACTGTCATGCCGCAAAGCCCTTGAAGGTCCTCTAAGTCTACAGATCAGCCAAACTGGTAAAGTCAAAGGTAGGGCCTTGACCTGAAGAGAAATAGATTCCAAGCCTTCAAAGAATGTTTTCAGACAATATATTTCACCTTTAAGAAATCCAGTGTAGCAGGCGCTGTGCATTTCTCCTGTACAGTGCATCCCTCCAGTATCTGGGATAGCACTTGTCTCCTGCAAACTGGGTCTATTGATTTATAAATTCCATTGCCAAAAACACATAAATCTTTCCTGCTCTACAGGATGAGACTTCCTTTTTTGAGGCCTCATGCCCTGTTTCTTTGAGTGTATACTTTAAAATCCTGCCTGATAATCCCTTTCTCTTTCTTTTAAAAAAACTAGTCGTAACAACCCTAAGAAGTGAGTTACTGCCCCACTCACGTGAAGCTGCAGGAGGTGTGCTGAGATGAGCAGGTGTGGGACAGTGAGCATCGCGTAACCTGATGTTTTCATCTTGAGTTTCTTCTCCTACATTTACGTCCTCCAGGGAAGCAACTGAGATTTGTTCATTTATCCCCAGTATCTGACATGGGGAAGGTGAGCGCTTACAAAATGGTTTGGGCTGATCAGAAGGAAAACTGGGAGCTGAGGAACCAAATTCCTGTTCAGAGGTGATCACAAAGTGCTTTAGGGTTTCCCTAATCTTCCATTTACTAAATCTGTCAGAATATGAGTGTCCTGAAAGTCCTCTTCCTGTGCCTGTGAGGACCAGGAGGATGCCTGTAAGATCTCAGACTGCTTTATTCAAAGTTCCTGTATTTCTCCCTTGTTTCCTTTTCTGGGTCCCAAGATCGCACCCACAGTCACAGGACGCTTCACAGACCTGTCTCCTGAGGCTCCTCTTGGCTGAGACGGTTTCTCAGCTGTCTTGTTTTCGATGACCTCGGTAGCTGGCAGAAGCACTGTCAGCATTTGTAGGATGCCCCCTTTCTTGCACTTGGTCAGAGGCTTTGCTGATGGTTAAACTTGGCTGTGGGTTCTGGAAGGAAGATCTCAGGGTGCAACACTATATGGGCCCCCTCAAGGGTGTCCCCTCAAGGCTCAGACTGTGAACAGGACTTATGGCCATGGGCGTGGCCTTGACCACCAAATGCTATGGTGTTTGTCAGACTCCACCCACAGTCTCTCCAGCTCCTCCTCTCCCTTCATGTGTCCGAATGTCCTCCCCACACTGTGACTACCACTCGGCTGCACGGCCAGCCCCAAGATTTTAATTAAGAAGAAGTTCATTTCTATCTCTTTCTCTACTCATTGAAGGTGTGCTCTCCACACTGAACATTCTCAATTTAAGCACAGAGCAGTAGTCGTCGTGTGCATATTAACTTGCATTATTATACTAACTTATGTTTATTAACTGGCATATATACCCATGGCTTGGCAGACCTAACCCTCTGTGTCTACAATAAGTTCAGGCATCCTCGCTGATGTCCCCAACTCTAATCCTTAACCACACAGTTCACTGAGTTCCCCGCCAACTCATCTGTCAATCTGCACTCCAAATGTGGGAGACACAGCTGCTACATTAACTCAGTCATTTGCTTAGTTGTTTAATGCCTATGTAATAGTCAAAAATCTGTTGGGGCCAGCAAGGTAGCTCAGTGGTCTAAAGTGTCTACTTAAGAAAACTTAGGCAAACCTCAGGACTATGGTTCCGCCCCCGGCACTACAGCTGTGCCAGCCACACCACTAGGATGGGCTAACCCGCCACTAAAAAAAAAGAAAAAAAAAAAGTGTTGACTTGGATCCAGATGGAAAATCACTTTTTTTCTTTTTGAGGCAGGGTCTACCTATGTATTTCCTGAACAACCTGAGCTCATTTTATAGCCCTCCCTGTCCTAGAATTCACAGGGCTCCTCCTCTCCCAGCAACCCAAGGGCTAGGACTACAGGCATGCAATATCATCTCAGGCAAAATAACTGTTTTCATTCATCTGGAAAGCATTACTTGCGTGCAATTTCTTTTTGTCTTTAAGACTATACACTCCATTTTTTGCCTTTGCCTCATTCCAGACCCTTTCCCTCATTCCCATTAGTTAGATTGTTTCATAGATTTTACAACACAATTATACATGTAATATGTTTACGTTTGCTTCTTCCAGCCTTCCTTCCTTCCTTCCTTCCTTCCTTCCTTCCTTCCTTCCTTCCTTGCTTCCTTTCTTCTTTCCTTCTGTCCTTCTTTCCTGTGATACATTCTGCTGCTAAATGATGTCTTAAATGTATGTACATCAGATCCACCCGAGGTGCTTAAGTCCAGGGAGTTAGCCAGTGCGGAACATGCCCCTTCCATCTCAGCATCGTGCAGAGCAGTTTCTCCACCCTGCAATCCCGTACACTTCATCTGCTCCTTTCTTGCCCTTCTCCCTAACCCTCGCAGAGGCTGATCTTTGTATTACTTTTATGCCTTTAGCTTTGCAAGAACGCCACAGAATTATAGTCACACGGCATTACTCCTTATGTCTAGGTGTCCTCCAAAAGCCTCATGAACTCCTAGATGGGATTTTTGGAAGTGGTTGAATCACGGGTGTGCAGTACTGGGACTGAGGGTGTACAGTTTGGATTAGTCCATCCACTGTATTTTCCTGCTTGTGGGTGCGACTGAATGGATTTACTGAGGAGAGCTTCCCCTCCCTAGCGTAGGCCTACTAACCATGGGCTTGTATGCTGCATTCAGTAAAAGAGAAAGGGAGGCTCACTGCACCGACTCCCTGCCGACTCTGCCGGGGACTGCTTCTCCTCTGCAGTGGCCCTCTGCCAAGCTGCCCTGCCGTGAGGCCAGTCAAACATGCACTGACACCTCTCCCAGCTATGGCCTGCAATGAACCTTTGTGACTTCAACTTCAGGTGTGAGGGGTTTTGTCTCAGCGATGAGAAAAGTGACTGTGACCCAAGATATGCAGTCTCCTCTGCCTGGCTCGTGTGCAGTTCCAGTTCCTGTACATTTCTTGTGGCTTGGCAGCTCATTTGTTTCCCGGGCTGGTGACATCCCACTGCACACGTACCACACTTCCTATACTGAGCCATGTTTTGAATGAGATCTCCATTGCTTCCAATGTCTTGTGCTTATGAATAAAATTGTTGCGAGACCTTGTGTTCTGCTTTTTGTGTGACTTAAGTTTTCAGTTCGGTTGAACAAATACCAAGAAGTGGAATTGACTGACTGACGGGAAAAAGAATATTTGTCTTTCTAAGAATCTGCCACCTGCATTCCAAGGTAGCTGTATCATTTTGCATTTCACCAGAAATCAATTTCCCAGTCGTTACCAGCACTGGGTGGCAGGATTTCTTTTGTTTTGTTTCTGTTTTCTGCATACTGATACTGTTGGAATGCTGGGGATATTCCGGGGATTATAAGGTTTAGTGATGAGATCGGGGCTATCTTTGATGACCTGAGAAATGCACAGTTAGAATGTCAGGCTGAGCAGAGAGAAAGGTAGAGCCCTTATGCATGTTCCAGCAATGAGGTAATTAGTTCAGACCTGAGGATTCTACAAATATTGGAGGAACAGGAGGAGAAAGGACTTAGTCAGGAAAGAGGAGAAGTTAGCTGATTGGTGTGTGGATTTCTGAGGAGAAGCCAGGTCTTGTCACCATGACCACGCTAACTCATCGGCAGAGACCTTGGACAGTTGCTGTATCAGCCCTCTGTTGTGTGAGGCCTCCCGAGGCAACACAAAATCCTGACTTCCCGAGAATAGTGAACACTAGTTGGTTTCCACCTTCAGAGACTCTGGACGTTCTTTTCACGGGCAAACGCCAACCCAGAGCTTACAGTGTTCTGGGAACAGATCTCTGCAGCAGAAGCAGTAAGCCGGACAGCAACAGAGAAAGCACAGATAGAAACATCGGTTACCCCAGCCAGCACAGGAGCCAATTTAAGGCAGGAGCCCCGACCCCGGCCAGCGACCAGTGCCAGCTCAGGGTCTGCCAGGGTCCTGGCCACCCCGCAGGTCCTGGGCCAGCTTCCCAAGGAGATGAACACAGCTGTGAGCTCCCTGGTGAGTCACCCCAAGCCAAACGTCCTCCCACCTGGGCCTCCTGGGGAAATGGTCTTCTGGGAAGTGGTCCCTCTTCCCAGAGAGGCTGTGGGCCGCCAGTTAAACGCTAACACTGATCTGAGAAAGTTCTAGACCGCCTTTCATCTTCATTTTTCTGTGTAAGCTCACAATTGCACACTTCAACCTCTGCAGAGCGTACAGAGCACAGGCATGCCAGCAGGGGGCGCAGCTCCTCCGAGTATCTCTCACGGGTTGGGAAACCAATCAGGACTCTTCTTCCTCAGGGCTCATCAACTGTCACAAACCTCTTCATGAGCTACAGAAGCTTTGTCATCTCTAGTTTCTCCTTCATCAACTCTGCATATGTGTCCCGTCTCTGACCCAGCTCTGGAAAACACACCTGATACCGACGGGATGCACCCTGTTCTGATTCTGGAACCCTAAAGCCTGTCCCAAGTCCAAAGCATGCCTGCCTTTCACACAGGGACCAAGTCCCCCACCAGTGGGCTGAGCTCAGCCACCCCGTGCGACCAGAGCAGCTCTCGCCCAAGAAGACCCAGGCCCATCCTGGAGCTGCATCAGTCCCAGGAACCTGTGGCGACCTTGGCCCTTTCCTGAGGTGACGCCAAGTTCAGGGAGGCCAGGGAGGAGGAGCCCTGAGCCCTGCCCTGCAGTCAGGCCTCTGCTCCTCCTTGGAGACTTCAGAGGTGGGGAACAGATGGGTCCCACCTGATCAAGATGGATGGGGTCCAGCTCAGCAGCACAGAGGGGCTGAGGGGCCTGCCCTTTGCGCACACTGGGGGAGCCAGGGCTCCCCACCACCCTTTCTGCCAGCAGCTTCCCTGCGCCCGGTGCCTGAGCTCTCACCGTCCTGAGCAGGGTAGGTTCCTGCCCTGTTCACTCCAGCTGGGAATTGGAGTATTGGTTAGGGTTCGTGCACAGAGCCAGGGGCTGGGCCTCTGGAGGCCCCCACCCTGGCATGCCATGGTGTCCTCAGAGCTCCAAGCACAATGCCCTAGGGGGCCATAACAGAAAAGTGTCGCAGTGGGGTTCCCACCCCTCCTTCAGTTTCTGCTCACAGGGAAGACTTTAGTCTGGAAAACCCCTGTGAGATAGTGGGGGGCCACTGTCATGTTGGGGTCCACTGGGAGAAAGAAGAGGATCAAAGCACGAATTCCATACCCACACCCAAGAGGAATCTTTTGGGTTTGGAGTTGAAATCACCTTTTATTCATAGGAGCCCAGACGGAATAATTCACACGCAAAGCAAGAGCTGGAGGAAATCCATCGTGGCTCTGCGAACAGGGACCAGCAGAGAAGACCCTCTGAGCCCCGAGCCCCAGGGGGCTTCTTCCCAGGAGAGGGAACCCACTTCATTCTGCCTCCAGGAACACAGCTGCAGGCCTCAGGGCGAAGCTGACCACACTGAGGGTCCTGACCCTGCTCTGGGGAGCATGCAGACCCCAGCCCACCCCTGCGGTAACTCCACCAGCCTGGCCTTCTTGTTCTGAGTGGGATGTCACTGTCCTCTGCTGCAGGGCGC